ATGCTCTTGATGAACAAAGGAATATCATCCCAAGCATTTTCCTGAGAATTTGTGAAAATCCAAAGTATGGAGGAATTTGTAGGTCCTACACCAACAATCACCTGTTAGAGAAGTTTCAGGATGATATTGATGAATATTTGTAAGAAAAATAGAAGAGAATAGAAAAGAGAAGAGAAGAGAAAAGAGGTGATCAACTCTCCTCTTTTTTTTTCTACACCGGATTGTCATCATAAACGGCTATTTGAATCCTGTTGTATAGAAGTATACCGATGAGAATTCCAAAGATTTTCTATCAGCAAAGATGACTTCCCCTTGTAAGATTTACAAACTTGTGAGCCAACACACCGATCAGGTATACGTTGGCTCCACTTCTCTACCACTGAAAAATCGGATGTACTGTCACCGATCAGCTTACAAAGCATATCAAAAAGGTGAACGAGGTTTTATGACCTCATTCATTCTACTTGATCTCGGACATGTAGAAATTGTCCAGATCGACTCTCTGTCAATGTTTGATGAAGATGAGCTTAAGAGGAGAGAACTATACTGGATCGAAAAACTGGATACCGTGAATAAAAACAAGCCTGGAAGATCAGCATCAGAGTGGTATCAAGATAATCACAAGAAAATCAGACAATATGCCAATGAAAGAGTTGTCTGTGAGAAATGTCAGAAGTCCTATCCAAGAAATCAGAAATCAGGTCATGAAAAAACGAAGTTTCACAAGCTCCGTGAATGATAAAATTGATGATGCTTATACAATGAATATCAAAAAAAAAATTGTTGTGTTTTTCTTTATTTATCTTTTTTTATCTACCTCTTTTTTCTTTTTCTTTTTTACAATACCAACTGCTCATTTTCTTGACTGGGGTGCTGAGTGAAATCCAACAAGACATCAAGAGCACTTCTGCCTTTGCTTCTTTCTTCTATGAAATGTATACAGTAGTATCCACACAGGACACTATCATTCATCTGTATCTTTGATGAGTTATACCAACATTTTTTATGGTGCTTCTTCATCCACCCAACTACCTCCTCTGGTGGTGATAAGCCAAAGCTGTCAAAATATTCATTACCAAACACACAAACCCAGTGAGTACCACCACCATCCAAGAAATCTTGAAGATTGATTATCAAACAATCCTTTGATGATAGAGGTGGTGGAAGCTGATCTTTGCTAAAAGTTCCTCTGAAATGTGGAATAGATCTCAGAATTTCATCAATGTCAAAGTTGGTCAGTGGTCTCACGTTCCCGGTAGACGCAATCCCTTTCCTTTTTGGTCTTTTTTTACCCCTCTACCCCTCCGTGTTCCGGGAAATTGTAATCCTTCACCAGTGTTTCCAAAACCTATCGTTTTTCCTAGAGCTGGTGCTAATAATCCAGCTGCTAATGCTCCGAGAAACCCACCTTGCTTCTTGAGTTGAGTACTGGATAACTTGAGGTCCATTCCTACTCCTTTTTGCTTGGATTTTTTTGATTTTGGTAACCTGTTGGTTGGTGAGCAAAAGCATATCATTTCCGGATAACTGATTTTTTGTCAACCGGAGTGTGATTCCATCATGAGCACTACCAAGTTTCTTCTTTTGGTTTGGAGTTAGCATCAATCCATATTCTACATACTGACCAATCCCCCGACCAGCTTTGGCTCTGTGTGTGCTTCCAGAAATAGCACCAGAAATACCAGCCAGTCCTAGTGTACCAAGGATGTTGGGGGCATGCTTGATCACAAGTGGAGATATCTTCCCAACCAATCTTCCGATCACAGAACCGATACTACCACCTTTCTTCTGTGTTAGTTCCTTTGTTAAAAAAATCTCGATGTCCTTTTCCAACTCATTCATGGTTCCTATCTACTATTATCTTTTTTTCTTACACCACAACACTCATTTTACCATTCATACCATTGAGTTTGAGATGACGTTCGGAGAGAATCAAACAGATGGTG